ACCTGAAATAAATGGTTTAGAGTGTGTCTCTATGCTCAACTTCGTTGCTGTCAGTGACCGAAAATACACCAAACTGCAGGAACGCACAAAAGTGGAACTTAGCTGTCTCAAGCAGATAATACAACGTGGCTGGCCAGATCATAGGCGAGAAGCGCCCAACTCAGTAAACCATACTGGGATTCGAGAAGTCAACTCACCGTCTCAGATGGAATAATCTACAAAGGACTGCGCATAGTAGTACCACCTACCATGCAAGAGCACATGCTGAAACTAATACACCAATCTCACCTTGGAATAGTGAAATGTAAACAGCGAGCTCGAGAAGTGTTATATTGGCCAGGCATGAGCGCACAAATTGAAGAAATGGCCAGAAACTGCAGCAAGTGTGCTGATTTTCAAAACAAGCTTCCAAGGCAACCACTCAAGCCTTCAGAAACACCAGAGCTGGAGAGCTGCCATTCGAGGAAATGGCATCAGACTTGTTCAAATTTGATGGAAAGCCATACATTCTGCTAGTGGACTACTATTCCAAATTCATTGAGGTTGATGAGCTGAAGGATCTGCGTTGTCCCACCACTGCTGTGTCTGCTAAACTGAAAGCACAGTTTAGCAGACACAGCATTCCCACCACTTTACGGACAGATAATGGTACACAATATTCCTCAGAGGAATTTAAAGAATTTTGTGAGAGCTATGGCATCCTCCACAAAACATCTTCACCACACACACCACACTCAAATGGTGAAGCAGAGCGTGCAGTGCAAACTGTGAAGAGGCTGTGGTGTAAAGCGACTGATAAACACCTTGCCTTGATGGATTACAGTACGACTCCACTCGAAGCAGTAGGGTTGTCACCAGCCCAGCTGCTTTTGGGTAGGAGACCGCGCAGCAAACTACCTGCTGCACGTAGTTTGCTTTCTCTAACAGCACATGACCCTCAAAAGGTCAAGCAGTCACTCGACAAGACCCAGGTCATGCAGAAATACTACTATGACCGCAGAAGAGCATGGAAGAATCATGCTGCTCTAAAGCCTGGGGAGGAGGTCAGGATGCAGCCACTCCCTGGCTACAGCAAGTGGTCCCCAGCAGTCATAGTTAAACCACACAGTGCTCCTCAATCCTACATCGTGAGCTGTGGAGATAAATATTATCGTGGCAATGTTCAACATCTGCACTCAAGCACCTCCTCTGCCAACTAAACCCTACACTGGATAAGCAGTGAACCCTGGGCTATACCAACGGAAGAACCTATGAAAAAGAGTTCACCATGTCCAGAAACTTCGGATCACCTTCAGCATGAACTGAAAGGGCCAGTGAGCTCAAACCTGCCACATCCAACTGGGCTCTATCTAGGTGAGGCAGAGTTGTGAAGCCTCCTGATAGCTTAACTCTCTAGGGTCAGGTGAGGTAAAGTCACCTGAGGAAGTGATGTGCTGGTAACCTCTCCTTCCAAGTTACTGTTGAGAATCTGTGACTGCTGTTAAAGGCTTAAAGCAAATAACTCATATAAAGTTTGCCACTGAAGTAATATTTAGTTTATTTAGAGAATGTGATTTTAAGTTTATAAAAACAGTCCAGTGGTTATATTAGATTTGAAGCTAGTAAAAAAAAAGAGAGAAAAAAAGGTCCTTGTTCAATTTTAAGGAGGAAGATGTAAAGTATTGTGCTCCAGTATGTTTCTTGTTCCGCTGGGCATCCGTAGTCATGTGACCAGTAACGCGATCTTGTTGTAAGAATCACCAAGAACCGGCGCCAAATGAAGAGACATCAGACAAAGAAACACTCCCGTCTCTGTGTGCAGTATATTACAGTAAGGCCGCATTCTTTTATACGGCAATTGTGTTCACCACAGCCGGCACCAGCACCGCAGGGGGCTCACGCAAAATGATGGCAGTGAAAAAGTTGGATCTGGTTCAACTTTCACTGCACCGGAGGGTGACGTCATCCAGCAAAGATGCCGCTTTGAGCAATCATTCTCTCCCCCATTGTGGGATTAATTGTGTGAGTAATATTCGATTGTTCTTGATTTCACGGTTGTTTATCTCTACTGCTGTTCCTGATTCTCTCCAGTGCTGCTCTGCCCTGTTTTTAGGTGCTTTTGATTTGTGCTGTGTAAAATGTAACGTTCTGATCATGCTACTTGTGTGTATCAGTTCTAATGCTTTGTTGCCTTTATGTAACTTTTTATTTTAAGGCTAAGTGTTCTTTGTTGCACCACGCGGAGTGGCAGCAAGTTACAGCAGCTGTGTCCTCGTTGTGTTCTTTTCCGTGTTTCTATGAAGTTCTGTTCTTATGGTGTTATGTTGGTTGTTTTCTGTTGCTGCTGTGACACAGACAATTCCCCACTGTAGGATCAATAACGTCCCCACCCCACACCACCCCACCCCAGTCCAGTCCAGTCCAGTCCAGTTGTGTATGGGAGACAATCGGGATGTGGACGCCCACAGGAAGAAGACTGTCGTTTACCTTGTTAGCATGAGCATTCACTGCTATTCACCATTGAATTTGGGCCACAGTTAACACACCATAACGACATGCCATGCATTTTCATTACTACTGGATGTTAAACTGTTTTTTGTTTTTCATCTATCAGTGACGACACACTGGTGCCGGAACTGTTGCTGAGGTAGAATAGGTTAAGTTATGTGGGATATTGAAGCATTAAGGTTGCTATATAACTGAAGCACTATCACTGCTTGGAAATTCTTACCTTAGAAGGACACTGTTTTTGGAGATAAAAGTATAACCTTCACTCAGTCACAGTGGGTTCACTTGTGTACTTATGAGGATAGCCTTCATGCCTAATCTTCATTTAGTTGTAGTGTGTGTGTTGTGGGATGTTAAGCTGTGGGAGACATTACAACTCAAGTACTAACACTGTATTCTATGCACTTATAAGGGAATATAACTTGCACTCAGATTAAAGCGTGAGCACTGTTTTATATAAATGTACTAAATAAGGAATATAACCTTCAATTTTAGTAGAAGTAGGTGTGTGTTCACTCAATTCATTAGCAATATGTGTGTTCATTTAATTACAAAACGTACTACTTTGGAATTAGGGAGTTGTGCTTGGGGGAATATCTTTGGAGTAGTATTGATAATTACCAGCTGCATCCTACAGAAATATATCTTTGGGAGAGTACTGATAATTTCCAGCTGCATGGTGCAGGAATGTGCTAGAAGGAGGGAACAAGAGTATATAACACACAGTTTTGGTGATATGACTTTAGATCATCTTTGCTGCTGCTTGCTGCATGATCTCCAGATGCGCATCTGTGAAATAAAGGTAATAAGTGCACTTTGATGTTTTGTGTGACTGAAATTCTTTCCACTGTATCTGGACTCGAGAAGAAGTTTGAGACTTCACAGTTAGCAGCATGGCTAACCAAAACAAAACAAACTCCTGGGCTGAAACCATGACTCGTCACAACATGGTTGTATCATACACGCCTACAACACTCCTCCTGTAACCCCTCACACCCGACCAACACAGGCCTGTACATTAAAACACAACAAGGAGTTGCATTTTTAACAGGAAAGTCTGAATACCCACTAAGCCACTGAAACAAATTTGTAATGTGGGATTTTTGGCCATATAAATTAAAATCGAGTTAGCCTAAATAACTTTCATAGGTCCATGAGCCTTTGTTTCAAGTTTAAAATATGACACTGAGTGGGGGGGGGGGGGGCCCGTCCATAAGCTGATCATCTATAGCAGACTGCAAAAAACACCTTAAAATTTATAATAATTGTATAGCGATTTTCCTCATATAGCTTGAAGTCAAGCCAAACATTTTCATTTTTAAATTCTGTAGGTACATTTATATACAAGCCTTTAAAGCTCTGGATGGGAAAATGCATAAGTACCATAATGGTAATGTACATTATTAGAAAATATTGCATGTTGAATTTGAGAATTTTATTTTTATTCTGTTATTCTTTTGGTGTTTTACACTTATAATAATGTACTTTGGCCATGGAAAAATCTTGTACACATCTGCTCAGAATAAATTATCAGACCTTCAAGATCGACTGCGGAAGAAAACTATCGAATACCCAGCAGAAGTACATTCTTTGATCAACTGGCCTATTAAAATAATGGAAGCTCCCTGATTCTCTGAAAATGTGAAGATATCCATACTTTTACTTGTGATGCCACAAAAATTATACTAACAAATCAGTCTTAACCTTGGAAACTGGAAACAGACACAGCATCTGAGATTATTTATGTATTTTGCACAGTGTCAGGTGTAGTGACTGAAATCAATTTTTGTTTAGATTGTTGCACGTGCACCGCCCAATAAATACATATGAATATTAGCTGGTACAGTAAATCTTTTTTTCTTTGTATGAGTCGTGTTTTATACGTGGTCCCTGAAAAATGAATCTAACAAATGTCATGTAAATTTAAAGCTTGCATATAAATTTCAATTCAGTTTTATTTGTATGGAGCCAAATCACAACAAAAATCATCTTGAGGCACTTTACATAGTAATGTGAAGAACTTGCAGCACTTTATATATACTGTACATTCAATTCATTTCCTTCTTTTTGAACATGTTAAACTATTAATGACACGTGTGGTATCAAAGATGTAACATTTATTGTCTCCTCTTTTACTTCCGAACAAAACCTAAAAGTAGATTTTCACATGTGATGCGTAATTTGGATGTGTTCAGGCCATACATTACAGTGTTGAAGAGCGGCGGGCATGTAAAACAGTACAATGATAAAAATATTCGCAACATATTGGGTACACTGTCCATATTAAATCTGCTCTGTATTGCTTCAAAAGAAAGCCCAAAACAAAAGTTCAGCAGGGAAGCAAGATGAGGTGAGCAGGTACTGACAGCTTTCTGTCTCATCTGTGTAGAGCCAGAAAAACACACTTTAAGGATCCTGATGTATGTGTAAAGGATTACAGATACTGGAACACAAACTGTGAAAGAAAAAGAAACAAGTTCATAGATGTTATTCACACTGGTGTCAGAGCATGCCAGTTTCATGATGGAGTAGTTGTCACAGTACACTTTGTTTATGATGTTCCCACACAGCTGTAATGACGCGTTCAATGATATTGTAACGCAAACAGCAAAACAAACAGGTAACCATATAACAACAATGAGCATGACAACCTTGTTAAATGTCATCCATGTGTTGTACTGTAGAGGAAAACATATAGCAACATATCTGTCATAAGCCATGACGGCTAAATTAGTAAATTCTACACTTACATAAGAGTACAAAAAAAAAATCTGCAGGAAACAACAGGGAACAGAAACAGTGTGAATGTCAGAGAGGATCTGAACCAGGAGGAAAGGAAACAACCCTGTACTACCATACAGGTCATTGACAAACAGGCTGCACAGAAACATGTACATAGGTTCATGTAAACTTCTGTTCATACAGATAACAACAATGAGCAACAGATTAGCACAAATAATTAAAATATAAACAAACATAATGACAACAAAATATAAGTATTTCAAAGCCCCAGTGTTAAAGTAGATGTCAAGTGTGAAAAATAAAACCTGTGTAGAGTTGACACTGATCATGATGCTGCTTTTGGTCCACAACACTCTAACCCTATATACAGGAAAAATTGCATATAATATTGTTACATTTTGTTATAGATTTGTCAGTGTGCAAACTGCTTACATTTCAACAGTTAGAGATCATTATAATCAACACTAATACTATTGGACTCAGTCAAGAAATGAGTGAAGAGTGAACAGCTTCTGATATTGCATGAATGACACTGCGAGTACCTCCTAACCAGGGACGTGCTCAGACACTGGTATAAACTGAAAAAAAATGCAACCCTTTGCCTTTCAACCCAATTTTAGCTGCCCACAGCATCTGACTTCCTCTTTAACATGCTGTTACTGGCATGTTCCTTTTATAGTAACACTCACACTCAGCCATTACCCCCCACATACGTAACGACAGTTTCCTGACGCTCATTATGCTCTCCCTCACGCTCTGGTCTGGAGCTTTGTGATTGCACTTCATCTTAAACTGAATTATTAGAATCAGAATAGCATTCTTCACAGCATATGTACTCAAAATTGCTCAGGTAGAGCTGAACTACTGTTTAACAATCTGTCTGCTATTCCTGTGGTAAGCGAGTTCACTTCCTGTTTGCCAAAGCACCATGCTGCACTTGTTAGCAGATTGTTTACAGAACAGGGCTTGACACTAATGCTTGTCCAGGGCAAGTAAACTCTATGTCCTAGCAAGTGGAATGCATCATGCAGTTGCCTGATGGGGCATGTAAAAAATGTAAGTGATAATCTGTATCTATTTCTCTGTGTTGAAATTAATTTGGCTCTCAGTTTTTAAAGACACAAAGCATTTTATCAGGACTTGAAGAGACCAGTGAGTGAGATTAGTCAACCAGAAAATATGATTTTGGTGTTTATGGAGCAGCTTCTCTGTTCATGTTAGACCGAGAGCAGTGCTGAGCTTCTCAACATGAAGAGAACAGCTGAGATGCCACGGTGGGTTGCAGATGAACCATATTACTCAAGGTAACAACTCCCCTGTTCTGTACTGTATATGCAATAAAACCTCCACAAATCAGAGCAACTGATCAAAACACATGCTAAAGGAGGATAAATTTGCTGAGTGGCAATCATCTCAACTTTGCCGGCAGGCTCCCATCCACCCCTGGTATGTCTTAACCGTTGTTGGGATTAAAGGAACTGCACAATTTTTGTTCAAATCACGTTTATCAGATAGGTTCAAATTTGCTTGTGCTAAAGAGCCCATGGTGCTGTTCCTTCTTTTCTGACTTATCTACAATGTTACAACAGTGAATTCTCATCTTAGACATGACCTAAAGCTCAAAAAATGAGGTGCATGTATGTTCTAGTACTTCTGTGCAGAAGCAACTCAGTTTATACACGTCTCGCAAACTCTTGCTCATGAGTCTATATTTTCCTAACAAAATAAACTATTACGTGATATTTTAAGGATTTCCTTAAACGGGCATAATCTTCTGGCAGTTGCACATTCATGTGAGCTTGCCTGACATCCATGGTGCCAATGTAAAAGCCTCCAGTTAATCCAAAATGCTGCAGCCAGAGTACTGACAGGAACTAGCAAGAGAGATCATATCTCTCCCATATTAGCTTCTCTCCACTGGCTCCCTGTAAAATTCAGAATAGAATTTAAAATCCTTCTCCTAACATACAAAGCCCTTAATGACAAGGCTCCATCATATCTTAAAGACCTCGTAGAGCCTTATCATCCGAGCAGAGCACTTTGCTCTCAGAGTGCAGGTTTACTTGCGGTTCCTAGAGTCCACAGAAGCAGAATGGGAGGCAGAGCCTTTAGCTATCAAGCTCCTCTCCTATGGAACCAACTCCCAGTCTCAGTTCAGGAGGCGGACACCCTCTCTACCTTTAAGATTAGACTTAAGACATTCCTTTTTGATAAAGCTTATAGTTAAGGCTGGATCAGGTGACCCTGAGCCTTCCCTTAGTTATGCTGCTATAGGCCTAGGCTGCTGGGGGGCCCCATGATGCTCTGAGTTTCTCTCCCCTTTCCTCTCTTCTCCTCTCCTCTCCTCTCTCTCCCTATGCTTCTATATGCCACCATTACACATTACTAACTTTGTGTCTCCTCTCTCCCGTAGTGTGTCCTCTCTCTCTCCCTGTAAAACAGCAAAGGAAGTCATAAGACTACAAACAAATAGCAATGGATGCACTTATTACTTTTTTGTATAAAATAAATTTTATGCTGGTCTTTAACATACTGCAAATTAATGTACATTTTCAAAAGGGTTTTGTGAATGTTTATTGAATAGTGAATAGTTAGCATTTTGACTACGTCTGGTCTACATATCCATAGCCTAAGCATAACAGCTACTCTTACCAGTAGCAGCTAATGAAAACCATAGATTGGCTGCTTTATATACAGAGATATAATTCATATTGTGCACAACTGAGTTCAGCCTATTGGTCTGGCCCTCCACAACAGTCCCAGTTTCTCATATGGCCCCTTGGAAAAACTAACTGCCCACCCCTGCTGCAGTGGATTGTAGGAGAGCTGATGTACAGTATTTAACAACACATGTATGGTCAGGTAGTTACTGAGTTTCCTGTGAGGGAAACAAGGTCATCAGGTCAAAATGAAATTTGACTTTACGTGTAATGGACACATAAGTGACAAAAACTCCACAGGGACAAACAGGAGTAAAAACAATCAAATTAAAGGCCTGACACAGCTCTGTTTTCAGCAGTAACCATGCAGGCACCCATTATTCCCTGTGATGCAGTGCATGCTAATTAGCCTGTTAGCGAAGCTAGTTAGAGCCTCCAGAGTGTCCAAGTGTCCACACAGATGCCTCTGGGGTCTGGCTGTTAGTATTAACTGTAATGCGGGTTGGTGGTGGGAGACATCTGGACGTGTAATGTTAATTTTACCTGTGATCCTCTGAATAAACCAGCACGGTTATTTTTTATAAAATCTATATTGGTCTACTTCGTCTTATTGTGAGTTCCTGGTTTAAAAGAGCCGGAAGAGGCCAACATCAATGAAATTACTGCAGAGGAAAGAAAATGATCACTCACCTATTTCACCAGTTTGGTCCTGGGGTCTTACTTGTAACCAGGCAATTTTGTGAGCCTCTGCAATGCTTTGGGGGGTTCAGATGTTTCCATAAAGTTATCATGACAAGAAGATACAGAAGATAACCTCTTCCTATTCAATCAACTCGGCTCAGTTTGGTAAGTTTGGTAATGAAAGAGTTTCCGACTAGAGAGAAAGAACATGAAGCAGAGTAGGACTGTCAATGAATATTTAATATTCAATTAAATAAAAATTTCAAAAATTCTCAACCACGAAAATTAATACTTGTTAAAAAAAAAAAACACCAGTGCAGCCGTCTGCCTGGTGCGTTCTCATGCATGATGGACAGGAGTCACTCAACATCACTTTCTTTAGTTAAAATTGAAATGTGGCTAGCTCAATCTAAAACAAGCAAATAATTCAACAACAACCATATTGTAATGATGGCAGGACCTTCACAACACAACAGCTAAAGACAGAGTGACTGGCACCCTGTTTGGAAATACATTGGATTTTGTTCAGGAAATGGATAAATAGTGGGCCCTAGAGATAACCTGTGCAAGCTACAGTTAGCATACCATTGCTGCACTAGTTTCAATTCTTCCTGTTTCATGTCAAGGAAAAGATAATTGTTGTTCCATCACAGCACAGCTCCCTAAGCATCAAATGTACTATATACCATAAGCTAAATAGTTAAATTTAGAGATGCACCAGTGGATCAGTGGAGATCAGAAATGGCCGTTTTCACCATGATCGGCCAGTCACCGGTCAAGGCCAACCACGCTGAGATTTTTGATTCTGTGCCGATCAGATTTAGAGGCACAACAGTTCATGTTGTGCATGTAGTGGAAAAGACCAGAAGCATGTGTGCTGCACACAGCATCTCGTGTGCCCTTCGAGTGAGGCCATAGCTCACATCAGTACCGGGCACGTGTTTGCTAGCACAGTGCAGAAACAACTTGGAGAAGAAAAGCTACGTCCACATCTCCAGCAAATAGTACACAGTGAGGAAATTACTGGCTAAACGTGAAGTGCATGTATATATACAGTGAATCCAGCAAATACAAAACTACACTGTAGTTGCTGGAAAAACAGAAAATACAAACTACACACACTTCAAAAACAACTGTATGCTCAGTAGTAAGACATTCTTCTGTTTCTGTTGCCTGTTGCAACTCTTTGTATTTGGAGAAGTACAAATACTGCACCTCATTTTTAATTGGAGTTTAATTTAAAAAATTTAAAAAAAAAAAGAAATTGCAAGTGGTGCATCTCTTGTTTAGCTGCATGCATGTAGATCTTTTAAGATGTTTATGTCAAATTAGTATGCAAGTATATTTCTCGTATTGGTTTGCCCTTTTATGGACATAATAAGCAGAAATAATACTGGAAAAGTCGAATCTAAGTGTTTTTACAACAAAGATTCAAACATCATTTTTTGGCCAATTTTGACAGCACTAAAGAGGAGTGAAAGCAGACTAGTTTCTGCATTAGGGCTGCAACTAACAATTTTTTTAAATAATTGATTAATCTGTCAATTACTCAGATGTATTAAAACATGCAGAAATCTATTACAAAATAGATCTACATTACAAAAACAAATGCACTCTTTTAAACAATGCTTATGCAATGTTTCTATGCAGTCCATTGTTAAACAAAGTTATTCATTCAAAAACAGTGTATATAAAAGGCACAACAGGTCCTTACAGTGTTAACAAAAACAACTCTAGGATTTAAATTTATTTAAGTTATATGCTCATAAAGCCATGCTAATGTACAGGGCCAGTACAAACCCAATCTCTACCGCTGATGGTTAAACATAAATCTGAGTATGCCTGAACAATCCTCAACACATTCCAGCCTACTCTTAATTTGCATATGTGTCATTGATGCTCCTGGTAACTGTTAGATTCTACGCTTTTTGT